GGCCATGCCTTTTGGTCCATACCTACCCTCTGTCTTTGCCACCATGGCTACTCCATTCATGTGTCCATTGTTCCAGTTCCAGTGACAAAGCTTGAGCTACATGTCAAGTTCCCATTTGTAAAACAGATTTGAATTTTCCTCTCCTCCTTCAGCTGGTTACCCTGGATGTCCCCTATGGACATAGACTTGAATAGAGGGAGGAGAACTAGTGATCTTATGAGGTCCAGCACGTGCCCCAGTCAAGTTATGCTGGGATTTAGCCCCTATTATTGGCCTTGAAGTCATGAGAGGAGGTGGGCGCAGGTCCTAAGTAGGGCCCCTTTTGATGGGTGCTGAGACTTCTACAATATCTTGCTGCACAAGGTGGAGTGGGCAGATTCTGGGGTACAGGGAATCTGTGGAGATAATGTTTTTGAGGGTACCCACCAGGATTTTCTCATTCTGGTTTCAAGACCCCAGACTATCTCTGTCAGGCATAATAGATCTATGTTGGCTTAGCATTCAGCCATTTAGGACTCTGATCCTCTCAGATCTTAAGTTTGCCCCTTGGCTGTGCTGGCTCTTCCACATGATAAGCTACCAAAGAGACCTGGCTCCCACACTTAGCTGAGAATGTTAACTGCCCTCCATTTCTAATAGTTCTTCCATAAGATCTCAATCTGAAATTTTAATAAATAGCCATTTCCATTGTCCTCAGACATGTGATTCCCCCTTCCCCTGATGTCATGCTTTTCGAAGGTTTGAATCATCTCACTGTGAGCCATCATCTCCACTGGGACGCTACTCAAGTCACTATGGGTGATATGTTTGGCAGCTGGGTTAGCACTGGTAGCTGAGACTATCTCTGCCCACATTTTGCTTGGGATAGGGTTCTGCTTGTCAGCTAGGAGGTGTGTAGTTTAGTTTCCAAACTGTGCTTACTGTTATAGACCATCACACTACCAGGGAAACCAAATAGGAGTTGCCAGGGAAAGTCTGGAGGTCATCATACCTGTGAAAAGGGAAGAAAAGGGAAGCTGAGTAAAGGAGACTCAGAAAGCGGCGTGTGCCCCTCTGAGATAATCTTCGCCAGCTCCTAGAGGGGGCGGTGCTGCCAGAAATGTCCCATCCCATCCCACAAACTGTGCTCAGTCATTGGCTGGGAGCTTTGTGGGAAGAAGACAGGCGTAGTGTGCAGTGGCTAGACAAAGGCAGAAGAGCGATTCTGGGGTTTTGGTAATGACCTGTTTTTATTTTTACTTATTATATATATTTTTTAAAAAGTTTCATGACTTTTGTGAGACTTTTAGATATAGAATAAAAGTTTTATTTCATCATTAGTTATTTTGTGAAGGGTATTTGTTTAGAAATTACTTAAACATTTTAGTTTGCCATACATTTACATTAAAAGAAACTGGTTATAAAATGTGCCTCTAAATGAAGTCAGTTGTGGTTTACATTCTGTTGTGAGAAGATCCTCCTTCCCTTCTGGCCCCACCCAGTTCATAATCTGACTGGAATCTTTACTATCACATGTCTTACACTGCACACTGTTCTGGGCCTTTATCTGTAATCAAAATCCATCACCTTGTTCCAAAGGTACAAGTTCATAAACTCTCCTGAAGGACAGAGTCTCAGCTCAGGCCTGTCATGTGTTGACAGATTTCTACTTAGAGTTGTGCTGTTCATGTTTACGATGAGCACTGCTGAAAGCCACATTCCACAAGATGTCAAAATTGGCCTGCCTGTCGGGTTTGGGATACTCGATAGATACGAATCCTTGTCTAACATGAGCTGATTGGTCAGAACCTTTATGTTTTACAATCTATGGTTCCATTCCTCTCAATGTCCAGAAAAATATTCGAGTTTGAGTCATCCCTCCACATAATCTCAGGGTTCCATGGCTGGATAGCTATTTCCACACCCAAGATTTCTTCCAATTGCTCTCACGTTCAGTTAATGTGGATTCCTGTCATCTTTGGGTAGACATTTCTACAGTTGTTGATTAAAAATTGTTTTTTTCCTCCAGGTTCCAGTTTCCATCACTGTGTAGACGCCCTTGATCCTGGAACACTCATGAGATCAGCCCTTGATCCTAGAACACTCATGAAACAAGCCCTTGATCCTAGGAACATTCTAGAGACCAGCCCTTGATCTTAGGAACATTCATGTGACCAGGGCTTGAAAGATTAGTAAAGCGCCAGGAGCAGTAAGTTTTTTTCTAGACTGAAAGTCACCTCCATTGAGTGTTCTGGCTCCACAGGCAATCCAGGGTTGATTGAACACTAGGATGGTACCTCCTCCACCTTTGGAACTGGTAAGAAGTCTTGAAATACAGAGCCTGAGGTAATGGTCAAAATAGGAGTCCTTTATTAGGCTGAAGTCAGAGAGGAGACTAGTGCCCTAAAGAACTTTTGACCCTGAAGAGAGGCAGAGTGGAGTTATAAAACTGAAAACTACAATTACATCATGCCCAGGGGCAGAGCCAATAACCATAGTTACATCAGATCATCATAGTTACATCAGATCGGGGGCAGGTCAGTTAACAAAGAAGCTTTCAGTTAGCAAAAAGTTTCATTTAGGAAAAACAAGTTTCTCAGAATTGCAAACAGTGGACTCCAGGGAGATGCAGGTATAGCTGGGAGGGAGGACATGCTACCTGGCTAATTGTAAGTGTTCCAGTATTGTGGAAACAATGCACTCCCTGAATCTGCAGATGCAGCCTTCATAGAACCAGTTCTGGTTGACTGGCTGCAGTTGCAGTTGGGGGGGGTTGGTGTTCAGCTAAGTAGAAATACAGGCTAAAGCAAAAGTCAGCTAAAACAAAATGGAGGCAGCTTTGGTATTTCAGGTCCCAGATATGAATTTTGATAGTCTAGGCCTGCTACAAAACCAAGACTATTTGGAGTTCACCTTCATTTAAGTGACAGAGGAAAGAGCCTCCACAAGATGAGTGTCTGTGGGCCAGCAAACAGTGTGATTATGTCTTCCAGGTTTCCATCTCTTTTCCTTTCTCTATTCCTTCCCTTTCCCTTCCTCCCTCCCTGCCTCCCTTTCTTCTCTTTCTCCCTCCTTCCCTCCCCTCTCTCTTTCATACAGGGTCTCCTGTAGCCCAGGCTGGCCTGAAACTTACTATTTAGTCAGAGTGGCCTTAAACTCCTGATCCTCTTGCTTTCTCCTTCCAAGTGCTGGTATTACAGGTACTGAACACATCTGGTTTATACAGTGCTACAGATTGAACCCAGGGCTTTATGAATGCTAGGTAGGCACTCTACCAGTTAAGCTATATCTCCAGCCCTCCACATCTTTTTATCAATAATCTACTAACTCCTGTCTAATCACATAGGTTTGGGGATCACAAACACAGGGAAAATGTTTGTTTGAGTGGCTCTCTTAATCTAACTGTATGATCTTTTTGAATTCATTACAGTAAAGTGATTTTTGACTGGGTGTGGTTGTGCTCGCCTTTAATCCCAGGACTTGGGAGGCAGAAGCAGGTAGATCTCTGTGAGTTCAAGCCCAGCCTGGTCTACATAGTGAGTTCTAGGCCAGTTGGGAATACAGGGAGACCCTATCTCAAAAAGACAAAAAAAAAAGTGATTTTTATAATTAAAAATCCTGTATTTCATGGTCAAGCATGGTTGTGCATGCCTTTAATCCAAGTACTTGAGAGGCAGAGGCAGATGTCTGTGAGATCAAGGTCAGCCTGATCAACACAGCCAGTTCCAGGCAAACTGGGGCTACAGGGAGACCTAGGCTCAATGAACAAAAGCAAAACAAAATCCTATATTTCTCTGTTAATATTCCAAACCTGTCTTGGGTCCCAGGAGTATTAAGTGGAGCCCCCTTTGGCTTTCAGTCTGGGAAGAGTTGGTTAAAAGCACCAGGATAGAGGTGCACCCCTGAGAGACCATGAGCTCTCAATGGGCAGCTCTGTCCACCAGACACTCAGAGATGTCCTTTTCCTGGTCACAGCCAACTGCTCCATAGAAAGGGCTGCAGAGAGCCCTGTGGTGCCCACACCAATTATTACTACATCCACTCCGCACATTTCTCTATTTCTCCCCTTCTCATTGCTTCTCCTTATCTGAGAGATTAAAGAGGACAATGAGTAGCAATCCAAAGCCAAAAGAAGTCAAAGATCATCTTGTAGCACATAGCAGTAGATAATTTTTCTTAATTTTAAAATTACATTTATTTAATTGTGGTGGTACTGGCACATTCGTACCAACACGCGCAGTGGAGATCAGAGGACGACTTGTAGGAGTTAGTTTTTGTTCATCATGTGGGTCCCTGAGATCGAATTCAAGTCATCAGGTTTGGTGGCAAGCACCTTTACCAGCTGAATCATTTTTCCATATCTGAGGTTTTTAAAATTTCTGAAGGCATGGAAGCACTGATATGTCAGGCAGGGCAGTTTGGCTAGTGGCACCAACATGTTCAAAGTACCCAGGGCCCTCTTGGTTAGATACAATAGGAAGAGGGCCTGTTTGTGGCTCTCCTGGGTATTAGGCTATGTTGCCTGCCTGTTTCTTTTGATCAACCAATTATCTCACCAGCCAACCAAGCCACAGAGGAAGAGGCATGTCTGATCTATTTCTTAACATGGGCTTCAAATGTGTGTTCATTTTACATTTTTAAAATCAAGTTCTCTTTTGGTTTGCGAACTTTCATATCTCTAAGATATATTTCAATTTTTTTTTTTCGGTCTTTTGAGACAAGGTCTCCCTGTAAGCCCCAGCTGTCCTGGAACTCACTATGTAGACCAGGCTGTCCTTGAACTCACAGAGATCCACCTGCCTCTGCCTCCCAAGTGCTGGGACTACAGGCATGTGCCACCACGCCCGGCCAGATATATTTCAATTTTTAAAAGAATATTTATAGGCCTCTACCTTTGGATATGGTGCCCTCTTCTGACCTCCATGGGCATTGCATGACAGGGGTGCACTTACTCACATGCAGGCAATTCACTCTCACACCTAAAATACTACTAATAAATAAAATATTAAAAATAAATAAATAAAAATATGGAACACTTCACAAATTTCCATGTCATCCTTGTGCAGGGGCCATGTGAATCTGCTCTGCTTTGCTACAATTTTAGTATATGTGCTGTGAAAGTAAGCACTAAAAGCATGTTTTTATTTCTAAAATTATTGAGCATTTTGCACAAAATGTGAATAAACGTTATCTTTAAGCAGTATATTAAAATGATCACTACTTCCTTTATCCTTTTGTCCCTCTTTTTGTGGTACTGGGGACTGAACACAGGGGTATTCCTAACCTAGGTAAATGCTCTACCACCACTGAGCTCCATCTCCAGCTCTTTCATAATTTTTAAAAATTTTTATTTATTTTTATTTTGTGTGTATGAGTGTATTACCTGCATGTATGTAAGCTCACCAGTGTCATGCAATGCCCATGGAGGTCAGAAGAGGGTGTCAGATTCCCTTGGAACTGGATGGTTGTTAGCTGCCATGTGGGTGCTAGAACTGAACTTGGGTCCTTTGCAAGAGTAGTCAGTGGTCTTAACCGCTAAGCCAACTCCCCCTTTCATATTTTTTTTAAATGCAGTGTGAGTTACCTAGGCCTTCAACTTGTGATCCTTCTGCCTCAGCTGTGTATCTGGAATTATAGTCATCCACCACCAAACCTGGAGTATTTTCTTTATCTTTTAAAGGTTTTGAAGGTGTCTCACCAGTGTGGCAGGCGTGTGTTAGTCTCATAAATAGTGTGTCTAAAAGATTAACATTAAAAATTTAATCTTTTCCAGTCAGAACCTTCCCCCATAAAACTATTTAAAAGCAAGTAAATTGGTTTATATGGTAAAATAAGTAACCAGAAGGTAAGCTGATGGTACATACCTGTAATCCCTGCACTTAGGAGGTGTGGGCAAGATCACAAATTCAAGGCCAGCCTGGACTATACACCGAGTGAGAGCCTATCTCAAAAAAACAAAAAACAAAAAACAAGAAACAATGGCCTGTGGGGTGGCTCACAGGGGAAGGTGTTCACCAACAAGCCCGATAGCCTGACTTCAACAAGATGCAGAGAACCAACTATTGTAACTTGTCCTATGGTCTCCCCAGGCATGCTATGTCACACAGACACAGATACACACAGATACACACACACACACACACACACACACACACATACACACACACACATAAATAAATACCCCAAAGAAACAAACCAAAAAACAACCAAAAGAAAACAATTTGCCAGTCAAGGTTTACACTGAATATCTACAAAGAACAGAACCTTGTGTCAAATCTCTGTATGTTTGTTTGTTTGCTTGCTTGTTTTTTGAGACAAGGTCTTGCTACCCCAGTTGGCCTAGAATTTGCTATAAGGACCAGGCTGGCTTCAGACTTGTGATAATTATTCTGCCTCTGCCTTCTGAGTACAGGGATCCCAGGGGGGCCTCACCATCCTGACATTGTATTAGATCTTTGTAGAAATTTTCCAAAAGGAGCCCAATAGGGTATCCTTTACTTTGGGAAGTTTATCATCTTGGAGACTTAAGACTTAGACATGTACAGGATCAAAAAATTAGTTGACAGTGAACAGTCACTCTATGTGATCTTTTAGAGTAGGAAATGAAAGCTTATCCACATATGTACAACCAGAATCTTTCATGTTACATTGAGTTTCATATGCATTTGTTGGTCAAATGATTTAATAAATAATAAATTAATGGCAAGTGAATACTGAACGAGTAAAAAGGTTTTGAGCCCAGGGCATAGTGTGGGATTGCCACAGAACTGGCAACGTAGTTCACCACCACATTTCACTCACCATCTGTAAAGCGATGGCTCTGAATCCTTACCACTGGCATTTGCGATTACAAACCTGATGTTGACACCTGGACATCTGCATATGGCAAGGTTGAATTTGAACCTATTTCTCCACTAACCTCTTCCTCCTTCTCCTTCTGCTAATACTACCCACTCCAGAATTTTAAAACATTGCCCTAGACTTCACCTTTCTTTCGGATTATAATGCTCCATCTGTTATTAAGTAGCTTTGGAATTTGATTTCCCTCTTCTGCTCTCTCCTTCCCTCAGCCTCACTTTGTTTTCGCCTTACATTGTCAAACTGGTTCTCCAGAATGAAAATGCAGTACTGCTTCTTTCTCCCTTACACTGTCTAACGGTTCTTCTCTGCTCTAGGTAAAAACTGTAGTCCTTAAGCTTGACTCATAACTTCTTTCCTGACCTGATCTTTTCTAAACAACCCCCCACCCCCCTTCTTCCCCCTACAATGCTAGAAGACGCTTGTGATGAGGAACACATTCTCCTCATCTTTGTAATTCTGTATTGAAAACAGTTCTGGAAACCCAACAAATTTCTCCCAAACAAATGAACTAGGAGATAAAATTAGAATGAACTGTAAAAATATAGACTAGATGGATAAAATATAGATGACTTATTCTGGGTTCTCCAAGCCATTGTTAGAATGCCATGTTGAGCTTATTCATAAAAGAGATTCCTCACCATTCACACATGCGTCTCTGTGGCCTGCCAAGGGCTTGGTATATAGTAGACATTCAATAAGCATTCTATTAATAAGTTCACTAATGTTATTGCATTGGATTCAGCCAAGCAAGCATTTTTTTTTGAAAATGTAATATCCAGTTAATTACAGAGTGATTGGTCTTATTTGGGGAAAAACATAAAAAGTTTCTTTCTTGTGAAGGGGCTGCTGTCCTAGCCAGATACCTGAGCAAACAGCCTAGGCTTCAAGGTAACTTAATCAAGCACATTTCTCACAGTAGTGAATGTGGACTTGTTTGTAGGACACCTGTCTACCTGAGGTCAGTGGCTCCAGAATTAGATTTATTAGCTGTAACAAGATCTTACTACAGGCACTACCAAAACAGGGATATCACAAGGTGTGGTTACTGGATGCTAATTTTGGATAACTACTTCTTTCAAGGCCTTAGCTCCTTCAAATTAAGTCTGTAAACTCTGACAAATCATTGTTGGAGTTTCTATTTTTAGTGAATAAAATCAATTTTAATAGTTGCAATATATAATTGGCACATTGGCATTTTATATTTATACTGGGATTCAGAATTAAGTATTTTACAAAGTCCTGGGAACTTGTTTGCAAAGTAGCATGTTATGAAAAATGACCCTGGTGTAATGCAATCACTCCCTTTGGAGAAGTTACAAGTAAACTTAGTTAAAGTTCTTGCCAGCATGTTTCTAGCCCGAGAATAAAACGGTTACCTCCAGCCACTAGCTGCTCCTATCTATGCTGCCTAATCTGAAGAAGCTCCATTTTGCTGCAAGTTCAAACCTCCAACTTATCACCCTTGAACTTTCCCCAAATGTTAGGTTATTTCAAGCTTTTGAGGAAGCTCAGTGGCCCATGATAGTCTTTCATTCAAAATACAGAAGGGTAAGTTTCTTAAAATATTAGTGGCCAAGACTTTGCAAAGCAAATTTTTTCTTTGACAAGGTGTTAATCAACTGTATGAGTTTAACAAGGATATTAGAATTCAATAATCTTCTATCATTAAACCAGAATCCACTAAACATTTACTGCTATCATGCCAACTTGAAATAGCCCTTCTTGATTTTGGTGTTGTGTTTCTACAGACTGAACTCAGAACTTCATGCATGCACTGTATCACTGAGCTACAATCCGCCTCTTCTTATTCTTAGTTTAACTTACTAGATACTCTAGCAAATAGTGCTTAAGTCTTCAAATGAGATGGTTTCCTCTTGACCCTCTGGGATAGAGGGTGGAGAAATGAGAAGGAAGGAGGCCACCTTCTTCATCCCAGTCGCTAGCTTGTAGCTTTAGGAAAAGATCTCCCCAGAGATGATAGGGTGTCATTTACAATTCTCTAAAAATTTACAAGACAATTTTATTGTTAATACTGCTGTAATCTTAAGTGGGTCTCTACAAATCACCCTTTCCTGCTGTTTGCAAAATGTTTTCTTAGTTATTTGCAGACTTTTAATTTCATTTGAGAGCAATTCTAATAGCTCTGACTAGTGTGAACCAAGCTGGTCCCTGGTGCCTTCAGAGTTCTTCAGGAAAAATGAAGCCTGGCTGAATATTGATGAAGGGACAGGGTCATCTAGTGGTTAACATCTTGGGTCTGAAATCTAGTATACTGGGTTTGGAGTACTGGATTCACTGCTTGCTCACTAATTGTGAGACCTGTGCAAGTTACTTAGACTCTTCCTAGACCCTACTGGATGTAGCTCTGTCCTAAAACATAATAACCACTTGATGCCTTTTGTAGGCTGGAAAGGAACTTAGCACCAGCAATAGCAGAACATAATTTAATATGTAATACAATTTACACAAGGCCCTGAAGACACAGATCTTTGTTTCACCCATCTAAGCCAGATGTGAGAACGGACAGATAGATATACATGCTCATGCAGACATCCTTGGTACATTGAAATGACAGACTGAGTAAGTGAGGAACCCAGGAAGTCTTGTCAAAGAGAAGAGGCAGAAGGTTAGGCTTTGGAAGAGGCAGAATCCAGATAAACTGACCTCAAGGTAGAGGACATACCTAGGCACCTACAGTTGCATGGCTGAGTACTTTATTTTTAAAAAGAGGTTTGTTTGGTTTGCAAACCTGGTAGCTAGAAAGTCCAAGCAGCATAGAGCTGGCATTTGGCAAGGTCTCTCCAGCTAAGAAGTGATTCAGAGAAGTGAAAAGGGAAGTGACCATTTGGTACTGAAGGAACCAAGCACATGGGATGACCTTTCTTGTGAGAACTGATCTGGTTTGACAAGAACTGAACCAATCTGTCCAGCTGTTGGGAAACCCTGCATCCAGTGAGTGGTACTGCTGTGATCCTGTCACCTTCTACTAGACTACATCTCCTAATAATTTGTTTCCTCTCAATGCACTTAACCTGGAGATCAAGTTTCCAACATGAATCTTTGGGGGTCGCCCTCACCCCCACATCCAAATCGCAGCGACCCTACCACAAGTATTCCCAAACAGTTGTGAGTTGTGTTACTTCGCCTTGGCTTTGAATTTCAGTATTTTTTAAAGATTCTGCTATGGGGGCTGGAGAGCTGGCTCAGCAGTTAAGAGCTTACTCATATTGCTCTTGCAGAGGAGTTCAGTTCCCACATCTTCAGGGG